AAAAAAAAGGAACTGTTTTATACCCTTTTTGGAATTTAATTCAATTAAGTTTTCATAACATTTATTATAATTTTTCTCTTCAAAACACAATATAGCCACAGCAACTTCAGTTTTAAGTTTCCAATTATTTTTCTTTAATTTCCTTTCAAGTTCTTCTTCATTTTTTAATGAACATTTTTTGGTGATACCAAATGCTTCTCTATTCCAACCCCGATTGAGGAAGCTTGAAATCAAAGTATCAAGAGCCTTTTTGGAGTTGGAGACCAAAGTTTCAAATGAAGTGAAGAAAAATATACCTTCTATGATGTTAGGGTAACGCAAGCAAAGGGAAATTTTGCAAGCAATGCTAATAATCTTGATGGCACAACTTTATTGTGGCAATTTGACTTAGTTTGGGAGTTGTAATTGCACCAAACCAGAAGTCCTTCTTCAGTTCGCGCTTGCACTCCGGGAAAACCTGCAAAGCCCCGAGGTGGAACTCGGAGTAGACACTCCGATGCTTAAGTCAGCAATAATCGAGGCTACTTTTAGAGCGGAGATAAAAAGAGCTTAGGGTTGGTTTCAATTACATTTCTGAGGTGGCCCCTGGGGGTATTTATAGGCCTTTGTGAGATATCCACGTGGCTTGCTTAGTAGGACAATCGGAGCCTGACGTGTCTATCCAGACGATTATTTCGGGACCAGGAATTTGAGAGGTATTCAGATGCACGGATGTCCACCATACTTGTTGTGCCACTCGTCATAAGGAATTAGGTGCGGGCATGCTTATTGTCATTGTCATGCAGCTATTTAAGCAGGGAGCTTTTGATTCATTTCTCACTTCGGTTATAAAGGAATTACTGTAGCAGTCCGAGGCTTGGCACCTTGGACCTGTCGTTACAAGAGTGCCGACCATAACTACAGTTATTGTAGTTTTTTTATCTTTTAACATCTTAAAAGTATATAAAATATATTTAATATTTATTTAATATTTATTTTGATTAATGTTTTTATATTTTTTAAAATGATATAAAAATGTAATAATTAAAAGTTAAAAAAGTATAAAACACGTTATCAAACGAAATCTAAGTTGGATTGTCATGGTTGCTTTTAAGGGAGATACCCTCTCAAATGAAATGAACATGTTTGTTTTACCTATTGATTTGTTCATCTATTTCTTTTACAACCAAATTTTCATCAAGTCTCAAGCTTACTAATGTATGGTAGCAAGAATATCAAATGTACCCCCCATTATGTGCAAATACATTTTTACAGTTAAAGTTTTTAATCTAGTGTACACTAGTAGGTTGTTCTATAGAGTTGTGTCTTTAGTAGGGAGGTTATATCACTTTTTAGTTTTAATGTAGATTCTAAATCCTTGTTTACTTACTAATTCTTTTCTCATGCAAATTCACATGCATATATATGATTTTTGCAGGGATTCTATATCAGAGGACAGCTTGGAGGATCAGTATTAAGACTAAGAGAAGAATGATACGTATAGAAAAGATGAGGTTTATTGTTTATTCCAATTGTTTGTCAATATGAAAATGAAAAAAGAAAAAAATAATGATAATAAAAATAAAAAAGAGGTTATTTCGGGTTACAACCATTTCTTTTCCATCATTCCTTCGTTTCTTTTTCCTTCAAAGTTATTCTCTGGGAGTATTTAAGTTTACACTTTGATAATGATTAACAAAGCTGGAAATGAAACCCCGGATTAAAGGGTAAAGCAAGGTTCCTAGCCTATCAAAAAATTTGAAACACAACCTGTACACAACCATGCATGTGTCTTGACTCTTCATTAATTTGCAAGTTTAAACTCAATGTAGAGCACATCTTTTGTTAAGTTTTATGGGTTATAGTTACTGTAACTATAGAATTTATTAAGCTTATTAATCTAATAAAATTATAACTAAAATTGATGACCTTAACAAAATCTTTAGTGACGAAAACCTTAGTCGTTTTTATGTTTGAATATTGGCATGAAAACATGGCTAAAAAAATATGAAAAGCTCCAATTCCCTTCATTGATCTCTGCAATCATAATCCAGAGCACCATGGAAACATGCCACTTAGCATGTGCACCAAGAGGATGTACCTGTATAACTACTACTCAATCTATTTCAACAATTAATGATCTCACAGGGACAATTACATATCATTTGAGTTGGCTTCATTGTGCCTCAAACCTCAGCACCAGGAGGATAAGTGGTGGTACTGGTTTTAGCACAACTAGACCACTATGAAGGTGGGCATTAATATTGGCATGCTTCCAACAGATAATTGACAGCAATTTCCAATTGTAATATCAAATTGGCTACCAACGAAAATGATTTTCACACACACTCTTATCTTATAATATTAGTAATAAGGAAAATGATTGGTGCACACCCGGATCCCACACCCGGGTGTGTACCCCCCATATAAAAAAAAAAAAAAAAGCCTATCACCCGGTCCAACTTTTTTTTTTATTTTATGTGGGGGGTGCACACCCCGGTGTGAGATCCGAGTATACACCAATCATGATCCTAGTAATAATTAATACCTTTAAAGTCAAAAGTTATTTGTGACTAAATAGGGGCATGAATACTCGAATTAGTGACTCATCATGACCTCACTACTAAATTTTCATTATTCAGCAACATGGAAGCACATCGGTGAAAGTGCTACCCATGTTGCTAAAAGTACATTAGCAACGTGAAGCATGTTGCTAATGCCTTTCTTGGTGAAGCCATACTCAGTAATGTATCAGCAACATAACTCTTGTTGCTGAAAGTGAATTTCAGCAACAAGGAACAAGTTGCTGAAAGTGGAGCTCAATTAAATGGGAAAGGATTCACCGGAAAATAGGAAAGGATTTACCGAAAAATATCAGTAAGGTGGAGTATGTTGCTAAAAGCAACTTTCAGCAAGAAGAAGTATATTGCTGAAAGTGGAATAGCTTTTTAAAGGGTGGAATGTCCTATTCAACTTTCAGCAACATAGAACTTGTTGTTGATACATATTTTCAGCAACAAAAAATCTCATGTTACTGATATATTATTACTAAAAATCAAAGTTTTAGTAGTGTCTCGACTTGGCGCTAGCAATATAAAAATAAATATATATATTTATTGGTAATGAATTACAAGTAACTCTTATCGATAAAAAAATATAGAATTAATATTTTTATTAAATGTAAAAATTAATATATATTAATTTTTTTTAATATGATGAGGTTTTATTTTAATAAAATTATGTTCTCAGCCAGCGTCAAAGTTGTCAGCTATTCTCCTCACTTAGGTTTCATGCGATCATCAATTTGAAAGGGAAATACTTGATGACAAGGAAATTTAATATATAAAAATTGGTTTGCATGA